ATATATGTAGAGGGGCAATCTAATAGCATTGTGCAAGATATTGAAAACATGGTGAGGTCATACATTGAAAAGGTATATATACATTTATTTACAAATGTACCGAAATCTTATTATATGCTGAAAAGAATTGAAGAATAATATTAATATTTATTTTCAATTGCATTGTGACATTGTCTTTCAGCCTAACTGCATTATTCTAGCAGTTTCTCCAGCCAACCAAGATCAATAAATTAAAACCTGAAGGCTTCTTGTTGCCATCAGTTCTCTACAACTTTTAAGTTGGAGTGTTTGTGAAAGTCAAAGCATTTTTTATGTCCGAGAAGGGTATTCTCTACTTAGGGTCTATCGGGTTGTTAGGAGAATATTGTCCTATATTCAAGGAGAAAACTCCTTCCTTTACAAAACCAATCACCTGTATTCATTGAGCGCCATTTCAGGACCACACTGATTTCCACAAACATCAAGTCAGAAAACAGGAAGCATTAGTTTTGCAGTTGAGAGAATGATATCCATTGTAGTAAATAATATTCAAAGTTAATGCTGTGTCTTTAGTGTTGACTGATCCACCATGTTTTTCTGGTCGTGAAGTTGGTGATAATCGTTGTGTTGATCAATCTTGAAGAATTGTTGTGGGCCATGCAACATATCTAACATATCATAATGGCGATGACAGGCCGGATGGGGGATTGGAAACTTATATTTGATCATGACTTCTTAATTGAATCTACATACTTCATATTTGGTTCTGTTGTCAATTACCTTACTTTCTTATTTAAAATATTTAGTTTTTCTCTGACCCTAAATCCTAAATTCCTAATCGATCACTCAAGTCAAGTTCCCAAATGATGTCGACAAATTGATAGTTTTATGTTTAATTATTAATGATTACTTTTATATGTATTATTCTTCTTCTTTACATAGTGTTGTATTACAAAGTATGAACTTACTTATTTATTAATTTTTATGTTAGTAACGTTCTTTTCAGATTTAGGTTATAAACTTGTTTGTGTAAGCACTAAGCAATGTTGGTTGGCTTAGTTTTCTACATCAATATTCTTATTTTTGAACTCTATTGGACACACATTTTTGTATGTTAGAATATGATTGTGTTGATACCCATTAATCTCCTTAATAGTGATTGTTTTTGTGGTATTGAAAATGGTGATTGCAGATGATGTCGAATCCGGAATTGATAAGAATGGCGACAGATAGCATGAAATACATGAAAGTTGAGGACTTGAGGCATGCTGGAGAATAGTTGAAGTCAACTAGACCAGATGAGATGGCAGAGATTGGTGAGAAAAATGGCCAATGCAACACCTGAGGAGCTAGCTGCTATGCACTCCAAAGTAGATGCACAATTAACTTATTAATTGAATGCAGCTCAGATGCTGAAAAACAGGTAAGCATAAAACGCCTATCGCCTCTCTGTATGCGTTTCTTTTTTTACTCATGAATTATCCGAACATGTGAGAGAATTTATTTTTATTTAAAAAAAAATCAACTCCTTTAAATTCCAGTCCCTTTGACACATCCCAATTTCTTTGAAAATATTATGAAAGAACAGTTATTTTAATTCTTGTTATTTGCTTTAGTTTGTGGCTTACCTAAAATTCTTCAGGAAGCTAATAACCGAAATAACAATATGTTACCACCTCCATGGGCAATAGCTGTTATGTTCATCCTAGGATTTAACGAGTTTATGACACTTTTAAGGTTTGTTTGTTTTCTTGTCTTTCTAAGTAACTTGTTAATACTCAAATCCAAAATTCACAATACACATTGTCTTGTTTTGCAGGAATCCATTATGGCTGCTTGTTATTTTTGTGGGTTATCTTCTTTTCAAAGCTTTGTGGGTCCAACTAGACAAATCCGGTGAATTTATTTAGCAATGTCATGGTGAGTTCCATTCCATCTAAATATATCGAATCATAAAGTCATATAATAGCAACATACTTCACAATTTGTCCCACTTAGTTCACAATTTATTTATTTATTATTTATTCATTTTCCGTTTCTTATACCTTTTTTTATGCTTACAGCTTCCAGGAATTCTGTCTTTATCCATGAAGTTTCTTCCTACAGTCACAAATCTGCTTAGAAAACTAGTCGAAGAGGGGCAAAAGCCTGTTGCAACCCAACCACAAGTATTAGGGAGTTTTCAAGGGGTAGTTTCGTCATCTGGCTCATCTGGTGTAACCATGGAAAATGGAAATGGAACCGAGTAGACTAGTCCCACCACACATGTCAAAGAGCAATATGTTCCACCTATCACTCACATTCATTTATTTGATCACACACTTGTACACATACATGCAAAACTCGTTTATTTACAAATGTATATATCATTTTATGGATTTTTTTAATATATATGCAAAACTCGTTTATTTATGCAGGATGGAAAGTCATGCAATGCTTCAAGCGTTTACTTGCCATCCACGCCAGATGGACAGCCGCCCATGACACTAAGTTCAACATTTTTACCTGGTAGACCGGGTGGCAAACCAATGACACGGAGGATTTTGTTTTACTATTCAAACATTTGTTATAAAGTATTTGTGAACTTGCACAATTGTAACTAAGAAAGCATATTTGTAAACATTTGCAGATGTGCTGACAGAAGAAATAAACACATACTAATGTCATCAATAAATTTTTTTTATCATATATTGTATCAAGCCACAATAAGAAAAAGATGAAATATATTTGTTTTAGTCCCAACCTTTAATGAACTGCCCACCTCCACTTGGAATATTATTTAACAAAAACCCTTCAGGTTTTACAAACCAGTAACAATGTTCAGGATCCGCTTTTAAAATTAATTTGTCAGAAATGGCTTTGTTAAACAAATCTAAGCTCTGAAATTTTGAACCCCACCAGAAGTAACCGTAAAAAAGAGTGTGACCACCAACCTTTTCACAAAAAGACCAGGAGTAATTTCCTACATATGGAATGGTATGGTTCCCAGATCATCATCTCCTGATTTTATGTGAACAACAAGATCTTCACGGAGAGCACTAATAATGCTAACATTCCATTTTGTAGTAAACGGACATGAAAATGCTATTGAAGCAATTGGGTATGTTAAAATGAGAAAGGCAAAAAAATTATGAATTGTACAAGACCTCATGTTTCTGTAGAGTTTTCTCTTTATTTCATGCACACAAGTTCCCTCTATTTATCGCTGAAGATGTAAGCTTGCCTCAATGGAGTAATGGTTCTTGCTAACGGAAGTTACAAGTTGGAAGTTATTATGGCAGTTACATAAGTTTCTTAACATTCGTAGTAGAAAGATGTCATTGCCGTTACATTGAAAGGGTGTGTCGTTTGTATGAAGGGGAGCGATGGTTTCAACCTATTACTACGTACTTACTCCTGATGTAACTTACTTATGTATGTTGATTATGTGATTAATAAAGATTTTATATTTCCCACAAGAATCTCTCTTTCTGTCTTCATGTTTTCAATGTATTTCTAAAACATTTATGTGCATTTGAATCCTTAATTATCAATATCAATTACTCACTGAATGTATGTTATTTCTTTACCTACAAGTTTACGTCACTATTCAACAGACAATAAGCTAATAAACATATTGCCTTTTATGGGGAAACTTGAAGAAAGGCCGATTGACATCTTTGGTGTAAACTTAATTATGATCCATTTGAGATTATATGTACGCAAATATGTAGAAATATTTTTTTTTGGAAAAATTAACAATTAAAACCCAATCTTTTTAATAGAAATACCCAAAAAAAAACAACTAATTTCATTATTTTAACCATTTTTAACATATTCAACAAGTTACGAGACCAAATTGTTAACTCTTCCTAAATAGTGAGATTTTTTTATAAATGTTTTCAAAATTTGTGTACTACATATAAACGTATTTTTATGAATTTATATGTACTATTTATGTATTTAAATATATATTTATGTAGTTATGTACTTTTTAAAGTTTTTTTATGTAGTTCTTTTTACTTGTTTTTAATTTTTTTTTTCTTTTACGTTTTAATATATTTTAATTGTATAAATGTAGTTTTTATGTATTTATATGAATTTTTTTAAGAATATTTATATACTTTAATGTATTTTGGTATATTTTTCGTGTATTTATATATCTTTACATATTTACATGAACTTTTAAGTTTTTTTTACGTACTTTTATTTATTTTGGTATATTTTTCACGTATTTATATGAATTTTTAAATTTTTAAATAATGCAGTTGGCAGCAATTAGAGTGTAAAACCTACATAAAAGAACTTTTTTGATCTTTCCTACAATAAATTCCAATTATATACTAGAAGAATTGTCCCATATGCCGAAACATATATGTCGATGACACAAGTCGTCGGAGTTCACCAACTTTTGTTGACCAACATTGTTTGACCTAGGTATCTATGCAGACGACTTGTCGATGCAGAAATGTTAAAGTATTTACTTTAATGGTTTTTCAAAACCTATGCGGATGACAGGTCGTCGGAATATTTTGCATAAATCACTACTAGAGAACTGCCTTTTAATGACATGCAAACAATGACACGCAGTGATTTACGAAACTTATATTTTGTGTGTACTAAAAATAACGTCGGTTTTAAAAAAAACGAAGGATAGAGGACACGCATTTTTGTGTGCCCTAAAATTAGTGTCCAATAAAAAAAATAAAAAACACAGAGGGCACCTATGTTAAAATGAGTGTCGTGTAGAGATGTTGTTTTATATTTTATTTAATGAAAGGCGCATTTAGCTTGGGGGAAATGAAAATCCCAAAAGTTTGAAAGGCCGCCATTTTAACCTCTACCTTATTTCCATCCTTCTTCTCTCTGTGATCAATACCCAAAAAAAACCCTAACATCATCACTGCTCCTCTTTTCTTGCACAACAAGAACCTATGACGCCGATCATGAAGTTCTCAAAGCGTTCAAAGGATCGGGAATCAAGATCATTATTGGGCTTGGAAACAAATTCCTGAGAGATATAAGCACAAGCCGATCGAGCTATGGATTGGATGAAAAACAATGTTGAACCCGTCGTCCCCGGGACCTGTATTTGTGGAATTGTAGTCGGAAACGAGGTTCTAGGCGGTGGCGATCAGGAACTCTGGGAGGTCCTGCTACCGTCGGTGAAAAACATCCACACTGATCTCGACCTCCTCCACCTAGCCGACGATGTTGAGGTTTCAAGCCCACATTCCGCTGGTGGGTTCGCTAGTTCGTTCCCTCCATTTCTACATAAACACGTATCCATTTCTCACATACATCAGTGATCTCGAACACATCGATATCAATTATGCAATCTTCAAAAATAACGCAGGAATAGAAGACGCGAAAACGAAATTACATTATGATAACATGTTCGAAGCACAAATCGATGCCACTTACACTGCTTTGGAAAAAGCTGGATTTGAGAAGATGGAGGTTATAGTATTGGAAACCGGATGGGCTTCAAATGGTTAAGGGAATGAAGCCGGAGTTATGTTGAGTAATGCGAGAACGTATAATCTCAACTTACGTAAAAGACTACTGAAGAAGAAAGGTACACCTTACAAACCAAATTCAGAAAGAGACTCGCCTTTCTGTCCATCTGCAATTTCTGAAATCCCTAATCACCTAATCGTATTTGATTAATCTGTCATCTCTTATTGATCGTAATTGTCAATGGAGAATCTAATTAATCTCCTCAACAAACTACAGAAGGCATGCACAGCCCTAGGCGACTTCGGTGAAGAATCCTCTCTTCCTACTCTCTGGGACGCCTTGCCTACAATCGTCGTCGTCGGTGGTCAGGTATAAATATGCAGATATTAATCGCCGATCATAATTTCTTTTCTTTTCAGCGTTCTTTCATCCGATCAATGACTTAATTCACTTAATCTTCTTGCAAGCATTTAGGTTCTCAATTTTAGTTTATGGTGTTTGTGTGTCTTTGATCTTTATTTCATATTTCAACAGGATGATCTGTATCTGTAATTCTAACCCCTGATAACGGCTGTTCATATCTATTGACACAACTACATTTAACTTCTTGATTTAGATGAAAGTGTAAAACTGTTTGTGTAAGCAGTTTTTATTCGTGCAAATGTACTTCACAGTTCACTCTAATCACTTTCCATAAATTGTTTTGAGAGCTCTGGAAAATCATCTGTGTTGGAGAGTGTAGTTGGCAAGGATTTTTTGCCTTGTGGTTCTGGTAATTATTATTATATCTTCAAAGTTTTCTGATTCAATTTGTTGGATATAAAGTATGATTAACATCTATTTGCAGGAATTGTCACTCGGCGTCCTCTTGTTCTACTACTTCATAAGATCGAAGAAGGAAAAGAATAGGCAGAGTTTGCTCACCTTCCACGAAAGTCGTTCACTGATTTTGGTATTACGACTAAAAAGCTTATGATCCTCCTGTAATTCTCATTCTCTCTGCATGATCTTGTTACAATTTTATATACTTTTTTAGCTGCTGTGAGGAAGGAGATTGCTGATGAAACTGACAGAGTGACAGGTTGTACCAAATAGATTTCATCTGTTCCTATATATCTCATTATCTATTCTCCAAATGGTATGATATAATTATAAACAAAAGATGTTTCATGAACATCAAATTTTAGAAAACATAACAAGTTACTAATCAATCTATTATGTCTGAATTTCTGATCTTTTATAGTTGTGAACTTTACCCTCATTGATCTTCCTGGCTTGACAAAAAGTTTACACAATTACACCATTTATAATATTTTCAATTTTGGTTAACTTCTGTCTTTGATTAGTGATTAATGTAATCTATTTTCACCTATGTGATATATGTAGAGGGGCAATCTAATAGCATTGTGCAAGATATTGAAAACATGGTGAGGTCATACATTGAAACGGTATATATATTTATTTACAAATGTACCCAAATCTTATTATATGCTGAAAAGAATTGAAGAATAATATTAATATTTATTTTCAATTGCATTGTGACATTGTCTTTCAGCCTAGCTAACGGCATTATTCTAGCAGTTTCTCCAGCCAACCAAGATCAATAAATTAAAACCTGAAGGCTTCTTGTTGCTACCAGTTCTCTACAACTTTTAAGTTGGAGTGTTTGTGAAAGTCAAAGCGTTTTTTATGTCCGAGAAGGGTATTCTCTACTTAGGGTCTATCTGGTTGTTAGGAGAATATTGTCCTATATTCAAGGAGAAAACTCCTTCCTTTACAAAACCAATCACCTGTATGCATCGAGCGCCATTTCAGGACCACACTGATTTCCACAAACATCAAGTCAGAAAACAGGAAGCAATAGTTTTGCAGTTGAGAGAATGATATCCGTTGTAGTCAATAATATTCACAGTTAATGCTGTGTCTTTAGTGTTGACTGATCCGGCATGTTTTTCTGGTCATGGAGTTGGTGATAAGCGTTGTGTAGATCAATCTTTAAGAATTGTTGTGGGCCATGCAACATATCTAACATATCATAATGGCGATGACTGTTGGTAATCAACCTTCCTTTAACCCAGCTGCAAACAACCCCAGAACATACATGCTGACAACGACTCTCATATATTGCTCAAAGTAATTGTTCTCACTGCTATATTACTTTCAAGAAAGAAAAACTGATTACATCTATAAAACAAATGACAACCTAATCTATTTATAAACTATTGTACCTACAAAATAGGCACACATCCTAACAGAAACGTGGTATACAAATGACTGAATAATCTCCATAATACCCGGTCCATTCCCATGCATATCAGTCAAAGTTATGACCCATTCTTTTTTTTTTATTCAACTCAATCTTCCACATCAAGATTATATCCAACAATCACCCCCCTAATCTTGATGCTCTTGACCTTGCTTCTCTTGCTATAATCTTGCTAACTTCTTGTTGTCTCATGCATTTTTCTTGGCCAACATGCTTCATCTTCCTGCTTAATTGCTTTATTTTGCTGCTTGCTTTCATCCTTCCTTCTGATCACCAAACCTGATCACCCTTACTGCTTGCTTTCTTTCTTGTCTGCTACTTGCTACAGACTACATGCTAGCTATCTTGCTTTTCTTTCTTGCAACCGTCCCTCTCCTGCTTGTTAATCACTTGCTGCCTGCTTCTTCTTTCTTACCTGCTAACAAACAACAAAATTCTGCTGCTGCATCTTTCTTCTGATTAACAAACATGATCAGACTTGTTGCTTGCTTTCATTCTTTCTTCTTTCTTTCTTTCTTTCTTCTTTCTTTCTTCTTTCTTTCTTTCTTTTCTTCTTTCTTTCTCTTTCTTTCTTTCTTTCTTTCTTTCTTTCTTTTTCTTTTTCTTTCTTTCTTTCTTTCTTTCTTTCTTTCTTTCTAATTTGCTGCTGTGCAGCCTTTCTTCATGCTTACTGCTTACTTTCTTGCTACAGATCATATCACCAAACTTCTTGCTTTCATCCTCTCCTTTTTCTGAGAACCAGGTGTGAACCTGGGTGCTCTGATACCAATTGTTGGTAATCAACCTTCCTTTAACCCAGCTGCAAACAACCCCAGAACATACATGCTGACAACGACTCTCATATATTGCTCAAAGTAATTATTCTCACTGCTATATTACTTTCAATAAAGAAAAACTGATTACATCTATAAAACAAATGACAACCTAATCTATTTATAAACTATTGTACCTACAAAATAGGCACACATCCTAACAGAAACGTGGGTATACAAATGACTGAATAATCTCCATAATACCCGGTCCATTCCCATGCATATCAGTCAAAGTTATGACCCATTCTTTTTTTTTTATTCAACTCAATCTTCCACATCAAGATTATGTCCAACAGTTAATACTCAAATCCAAAATTCACAATACACATTGTCTTGTTTTGCAGGAATCCATTATGGCTGCTTGTTATTTTTGTGGGTTATCTTCTTTTCAAAGCTTTGTGGGTCCAACTAGACAAATCCGGTGAATTTATTTAGCAATGGCATGGTGAGTTCCATTCCATCTAAATATATCGAATCATAAAGTCATATAATAGCAACATACTTCACAATTTGTCCCACTTAGTTCACAATTTATTTATTTATTATTTATTCATTTTCCTGTTTCTTATACCTTTTTTTATGTTTACAGCTTCCAGGAATTCTGTCTTTATCCATGAAGTTTCTTCCTACAGTCACAAATCTGCTTAGAAAACTAGTCGAAGAGGGGCAAAAGCCTGTTGCAACCCAACCACAAGTATTAGGGAGTTTTCAAGGGGTAGTTTCGTCATCTGGCTCATCTGGTGTAACCATGGAAAATGGAAATGGAACCGAGTACACTAGTCCCACCACACATGTCAAAGAGCAATATGTTCCACCTATCACTCACATTCATTTATTTGATCACACACTTGTACACATACATGCAAAACTCGTTTATTTACACATGTATATATCATTTTATGGATTTTTTAATATATATGCAAAACTCGTTTATTTATGCAGGATGGAAAGTCGGGCAATGCTTCAAGCGTTTACTTGCCATCCACGCCAGGTGGACAGCCGCCCATGACACTAAGTTCAACATTTTTACCTGGTAGACCGGGTGGCAAACCAATGACACGGAGGATTTTGTTTTACTATTCAAACATTTTTTATAAAGTACTTGTGAACTTGCACAATTGTAACTAAGAAAGCATATTTGTAAACATTTGCAGATGTGCTGACAGAAGAAATAAACACATACATAGCATACTAATGTCATCAATTAATTTTTAATCATATATTGTATCAAGCTACAATAAGAAAAAGATGACATATATTTGTTTTAGTCCCAACCTTTAATGAACTGCCCACCTCCACTTGGAATATTATTTACAAAAAACCCTTCAGGTTTTACAAACCAGTAACAATGTTCAGGATCCGCATTTAAAATTAATTTGTCAGAAATGGCTTTGTTAAACAAATCTAAGCTCTGAAATTTTGAACCCCACCAGAAGTAACCGTAAAAAAGAGTGTGACCACCAACCTTTTCACAGAAAGACCAGGAGTAATTTCCTACATATGGAATGGTATGGTTCCCAAGATCATCATCTCCTGATTTTATGTGAACAACAAGATCTTCACGGAGAGCACTAATAACGCTAACATTCCATTTTGTAGTAAACGGATATGAAAATGCTATTGAAGCAATTGGGTATGTTAAAATGAGAAAGGCAAAAAAATTATGAATTGTAGAAGACCTCATGTTTCTGAAGGTTTTCTCTTTATTTCATGCACACAAGTTCCCTCTATTTATTGCTGAAGATGTAAGCTTGCCTCAATGGAGTAACGGTTCTTGCTAACGGAAGTTACAAGTTGGAAGTTATTATGGCAGTTACATAAGTTTCTTAACATTCGTAGTAGAAAGATGTCATTGCCGTTACATTGAAAGGGTGTGTCGTTTGTATGAAGGGGAGCGATGGTTTCAACCTATTACTACGTACTTACTCCTGATGTAACTTACTTATCTATGTTGATTAGGTGATTAATAAATATTTTTTATTTCCCACAAGAATCTCTCTTTCCGTCTTCATGTTTTCAATGTATTTCTAAAACATTTATGTACATTTGAATCCTTAATTATCAATATCAATTACAATTACTCACTGAATGCATGTTATTTCTTTACCTACAAGTTTACGTCACTATTCAACAGACAATAAGCTAATAAACATATTGCCTTTTATGGGGAAACTTGAAGAAAGGCCGATTGACATCTTTGGTGTAAACTTAATTTTGATCCATTTTGAGATTATATGTATGGAAATATGTAGAAAAATCTTATTTTTTTTTTGGAAAAATTAAGAATTAAAACCCAATCTTTTTAATAGAAATACCCAAAAAAACAACTAATTTCATTATTTTAACCATTTTTAACATATTCAACAAGTCATGAAACCAAATTGTTAACTCTTCCTAAATAATGAGATTTTTTATAAATGTTTTGAAAATTTGTGTACTACATATAAACGTATTTTTATGAATTTATATGTACTATTTATGTATTTAAATATATATATTTATGTAGTTATGTACTTTTTAAAGTTTTTTTATGTAGTTTTTTTTACGTTTTTTTAATTTTTTTTCTGTTACGTTTTTATATATTTTAAATGTATAAATGTATTTTTTATGTATTTATATGAAATTTTTAAGTATTTTTATATACTTTAATGTATTTTGGTATATTTTTCGTGTATTTATATATCTTTACATATTTATATGAACGTTTAAGTTTTTTTGCGTACTTTTATTTATTTTGGTATATTTTTCACGTATTTATATGAAGTTTTAAATAATGCAGTTGGCAGCAATTAGAGTGTAAACTTCATCACTTACGTTTTTATTCTTGTCCATTAGTTTGTAAGCCTATCTATATAAGGGCATAAGTTCTAAGTTTGGGATCATCGAATTCATTCACTTACAATCACCACCACCACCATTGTAACAAAGCTTCCGCAATATTTTAATAAAAATGTGTGTACTTTAAAGTTTTAGTTTTTGAGCTTTAGTACAAGATAAAAATTCCTGGCAACGTAATTTTAATCTTGGTATCAGAGCTTTGAATCAAAACGTTCTTAGCTCTATGGAAGACTAAACTCCTAAGGTATATTCAGGAAAAACAGTAAAGGTATTATTTTATCAATTTCTTGTATTTCTACGGTAACATTTCAGTTAAAAACTTCATAAAAACCATTGTTTTTAGATAAAAGACAGCGCAATTGCACATAAAAGAACTTTTTTTGAACTTTCCTACAATAAATTCCAATTATATACTACAAGAATTGCCCCATATGCCGAAACATCTATGTCGATGACACAAGTCGTCGGAGTTCACCAACTTTGGTTGACCAACTTTGTTTGACCTGGGTATCTATACGAACGACTTGTCGACGCGGAAATGTTAAAGTATTTACGTGCATGGTTTTTCAAAACCTATGCCGATGACAGGTCGTCGGAATATTTTTCATAAATCACTACTAGAAAACTGCCCTTTAATGATATGCAAATAATGACACGCAGTGAGTTACGATACTTATATTTTGTGTGTCCTAAAAATAACGTCCGTTTTAAAAAAAAATGAAGGATCGAGGACACGCATTTTTGCGTGCCCTAAAATTAGTGTCCAATAAAAAATAATTAAAAACACAGAGGGCACCTATGTTAAAATGAGTGTCGTCTAGAGATGTCGTTTTATATTTTATTTAATAAAAGGCGCATTTAGCTTGGGGGAAATGAAAATCCCAAAAGTTTGAAAGGCCGCCATTTTAACCTCTACCTTATTTCCATCCTTCTTCTCTCTGTGATCAATACCCAAAAAAAACCCTAACATCATCACTGCTCCTCTTTTCTTGCACAACAAGAACCTATGACGCCGATCATGAAGTTCTCAAAGCGTTCAAAGGATCGGGAATCAAGATCATTATTGGGCTAGGAAACGAATTCCTGAGAGATATAAGCACAAGCCGATCGAGCTATGGATTGGATGAAAAACAATGTTGAACCCGTCGTCCCCGGGACCCGTATTTGTGGAATTGTAGTCGGAAACGAGGTTCTAGGCGGTGGCGATCAGGAACTCTGAGAGGTCCTGCTACCGTCGGTGAAAAACATCCACACTGATCTCGACCTCCTCCACCTTGCCGACGATGAGGTTTCAAGCCCACATTCCGCTGGTGGCTTCGCTCGTTCGTTCCCTCCATTTCTACATAAATACGTATCCATTTCTCACATACATCAGTGATCCCGAACACATCGATATCAATTATGCAATCTTCAAAATAACGCAGGAATAGAAGACACGAAAACGAAATTACATTATGATAACATGTTCGAAGCACAAATCGATGCCACTTACACTGCTTTGGAAAAAGCTGGATTTGAGAAGATGGAGGTTATAGTATTGGAAACCGGATGGGCTTCAAATGGTTAAGGGAATGAAGCCGGAGCTATGTTGAGTAATGCGAGAACATATAATCTCAACATACGTAAAAGACTACTGAAGAAGAAAGGTACACCTTACAGACCAAATTCAGAAAGAGACTCGCCTTTCTGTCCATCTGCAATTTCTGAAATCCCTAATCACCTAATCATATTTGATTAATCTGTCATCTCTTATTGATCGTAATTGTTAATGGAGAATCTAATTAATCTCCTCAACAAACTACAGAAGGCATGCACAGCCCTAGGCGACTTCGGTGAAGAATCCTCTCTTCCTACTCTCTGGGACACCTTGCCTACAATCGTCGTCGTCGGTGGTCAGGTATAAATATGCAGATATTAATCGCTGATCATAATTTCTTTTCTTTTCAGCGTTCTTTCATCCGATCAATGACTTAATTCACTTAATCTTCTTGCAAGCATTTAGGTTCTCAATTTTAGTTTATGGTGTTTGTGTGTCTTTGATCTTTATTTCATATTTCAACAGGATGATCTGTATCTGTAATTCTAACCCCTGATAACGGCTGTTCATATCTATTGACACAACTACATTTAACTTCTTGATTTAGATGAAAGTGTAAAACTGTTTGTGTAAGCAGTTTTTATTCGTGCAAATGTACTTCACAGTTCACTCTAATCACTTTCCATAAATTGTTTTTAGAGCTCTGGAAAATCATCTGTGTTGGAGAGTGTAGTTGGCAAGGATTTTTTGCCTTGTGGTTCTGGTAATTATTATTATATCTTCAAAGTTTTCTGATTCAATTTGTTGGATATAAAGTATGATTAACATCTATTTGCAGGAATTGTCACTCGGCGTCCTCTTGTTCTACTACTTCATAAGATCGAAGAAGGAAAAGAATAGGCAGAGTTTGCTCACCTTCCACGAAAGTGGTTCACTGATTTTGGTATTACGACTAAAAAGCTTATGATCCTCCTGTAATTCTCATTCTCTCTGCATGATCTTGTTACAATTTTATATACTTTTTTAGCTGCTGTGAGGAAGGAGATTGCTGATGAAACTGACAGAGTGACAGGTTGTACCAAATAGATTTCATCTGTTCCTATATATCTCATTATCTATTCTCCAAATGGTATGATATAATTATAAACAAAAGATGTTTCATGAACATCAAATTTTAGAAAACATAACAAGTTACTAATCAATCTATTATGTCTGAATTTCTGATCTTTTATAGTTGTGAACTTTACCCTCATTGATCTTCCTGGCTTGACAAAAAGTTTACACAATTACACCATTTATAATATTTTCAATTTTGGTTAACTTCTGTCTTTGATTAGTGATTAATGTAATCTATTTTCACCTATGTGATATATGTAGAGGGGCAATCTAATAGCATTGTGCAAGATATTGAAAACATGGTGAGGTCATACATTGAAACGGTATATATATTTATTTACAAATGTACCCAAATCTTATTATATGCTGAAAAGAATTGAAGAATAATATTAATATTTATTTTCAATTGCATTGTGACATTGTCTTTCAGCCTAGCTAACGGCATTATTCTAGCAGTTTCTCCAGCCAACCAAGATCAATAAATTAAAACCTGAAGGCTTCTTGTTGCTACCAGTTCTCTACAACTTTTAAGTTGGAGTGTTTGTGAAAGTCAAAGCGTTTTTTATGTCCGAGAAGGGTATTCTCTACTTAGGGTCTATCTGGTTGTTAGGAGAATATTGTCCTATATTCAAGGAGAAAACTCCTTCCTTTACAAAACCAATCACCTGTATGCATCGAGCGCCATTTCAGGACCACACTGATTTCCACAAACATCAAGTCAGAAAACAGGAAGCAATAGTTTTGCAGTTGAGAGAATGATATCCGTTGTAGTCAATAATATTCACAGTTAATGCTGTGTCTTTAGTGTTGACTGATCCGGCATGTTTTTCTGGTCATGGAGTTGGTGATAAGCGTTGTGTAGATCAATCTTTAAGAATTGTTGTGGGCCATGCAACATATCTAACATATCATAATGGCGATGACTGTTGGTAATCAACCTTCCTTTAACCCAGCTGCAAACAACCCCAGAACATACATGCTGACAACGACTCTCATATATTGCTCAAAGTAATTGTTCTCACTGCTATATTACTTTCAAGAAAGAAAAACTGATTACATCTATAAACAAATGACAACCTAATCTATTTATAAACTATTGTACCTACAAAATAGGCACACATCCTAACAGAAACGTGGTATACAAATGACTGAATAATCTCCATAATACCCGGTCCATTCCCATGCATATCAGTCAAAGTTATGACCCATTCTTTTTTTTTATTCAACTCAATCTTCCACATCAAGATTATATCCAACAATCACCCCCCTAATCTTGATGCTCTTGACCTTGCTTCTCTTGCTATAATCTTGCTAACTTCTTGTTGTCTCATGCATTTTTCTTGGCCAACATGCTTCATCTTCCTGCTTAATTGCTTTATTTTGCTGCTTGCTTTCATCCTTCCTTCTGATCACCAAACCTGATCACCCTTACTGCTTGCTTTCTTTCTTGTCTGCTACTTGCTACAGACTACATGCTAGCTATCTTGCTTTTCTTTCTGCAACCGTCCCTCTCCTGCTTGTTAATCACTTGCTGCCTGCTTCTCTTTCTTACCTGCTAACAAACAACAAAATTCTGCTGCTGCATCTTTCTTCTGATTAACAAACATGATCGGACTTGTTGCTTGCTTTCATTCTTTCTTCTTTCTTTCTTTCTTTCTTTCTTTTTCTTTCTTCTTCTTTCTTTCTTCTTTCTTTCTTCCTTTTCTTCTTTCTCTTTCTTTCTTTCTTTCTTTCTAATTGCTGCTGTGCAGCCTTTCTTCATGCTTACTGCTTACTTTCTTGCTAAGATCATATCACCAAACTTCTTGCTTTCATCCTCTCCTTTTTCTGAGAACCAGGTGTGAACCTGGGTGCTCTGATACCAATTGTTGGTAATCAACCTTCCTTTAACCCAGCTGCAAACAACCCCAGAACATACATGCTGACAACGACTCTCATATATTGCTCAAAGTAATTATTCTCACTGCTATATTACTTTCAATAAAGAAAAACTGATTACATCTATAAAACAAATGACAACCTAATCTATTTATAAATATTGTACCTACCAAAATAGGCACACATCCAACAGAAACGTGGGTATACAAATGATGAATAATCTCCATAATACCCGGTCCATTCCCATGCATATCAGTCAAAGTTATGACCCATTCTTTTTTTTTATTCAACTCAATCTTCCACATCAAGATTACATCCAACAGTTAATACTCAAATCCAAAATTCACAATACACATTGTCTTGTTTTGCAGGAATCCATTATGGCTGCTTGTTATTTTTGTGGGTTATCTTCTTTTCAAAGCTTTGTGGGTCCAACTAGACAAATCCGGTGAATTTATTTAGCAATGGCATGGTGAGTTCCATTCCATCTAAATATATCGAATCATAAAGTCATATAATAGCAACATACTTCACAATTTGTCCCACTTAGTTCACAATTTATTTATTTATTATTTATTCATTTTCCTGTTTCTTATACCTTTTTTATGTTTACAGCTTCCAGGAATTCTGTCTTTATCCATGAAGTTTCTTCCTACAGTCACAAATCTGCTTAGAAAACTAGTCGAAGAGGGGCAAAAGCCTGTTGCAACCAAACACAAGTATTAGGGAGTTTTCAAGGGGTAGTTTCGTCATCTGGCTCATCTGGTGTAACCATGGAAAATGGAAATGGAAGAGTACACTAGTCCCACCACACATGTCAAAGAGCAATATGTTCCACCTATCACTCACATTCATTTATTTGATCACACACTTGTACACATACATGCAAAACTCGTTTATTTACACATGTATATATCATTTTATGGATTTTTTAATATATATGCAAAACTCGTTTATTTATGCAGGAGAAAGTCGGGCAATGCTTCAAGCGTTTACTTGCCATCCACGCCAGGTGGACAGCCGCCCATGACACTAAGTTCAACATTTTTACCTGGTAGACCGGGTGGCAAACCAATGACACGGAGGATTTTGTTTTACTATTCAAACATTTTTATAAAGTTACTTGTGAACTTGCACAATTGTAACTAAGAAAGCATATTTGTAAACATTTGCAGATGTGCTGACAGAAGAAATAAACACATACATAGCATACTAATGTCATCAATTAATTTTTAATCATATATTGTATCAAGCTACAATAAGAAAAAGATGACATATATTTTGTTTGTCCCAACCTTTAATGAACTGCCCACCTCCACTTGGAATATTATTTACAAAAAACCCTTCAGGTTTTACAAACCAGTAACAATGTTCAGGATCCGCATTTAAAATTAATTTGTCAGAAATGGCTTTGTTAAACAAATCTAAGCTCTGAAATTTTGAACCCCACCAGAAGTAACCGTAAAAAAGAGTGTGACCACCAACCTTTTCACAGAAAGACCAGGAGTAATTCCTACATATGGAATGGTATGGTTCCCAAGATCATCATCTCCTGATTTTATGTGAACAACAAGATCTTCACGGAGAGCACTAATAACGCTAACATTCCATTTTGTAGTAAACGGATATGAAAATGCTATTGAAGCAATTGGGTATGTTAAAATGAGAGAAGGCAAAAAATTATGAATTGTAGAAGACCTCATGTTTCTGTAGAGTTTTCTCTTATTTCATGCACACAAGTTCCCTCTATTTATTGCTGAAGATGTAAGCTTGCCTCAATGGAGTAACGGTTCTTGCTAACGGAAGTTACAAGTTGGAAGTTATTATGGCAGTTACATAAGTTCTTAACATTCGTAGTAGAAAGATGTCATTGCCGTTACATTGAAAGGGTGTGTCGTTTGTATGAAGGGGAGCGATGGTTTCAACCTAACTACGTACTTACTCCTGATGTAACTACTTATCTATGTTGATTAGGTGATTAATAATATTTTTTATTTCCCACAAGAATCTCTCTTTCCGTCTCATGTTTTCAATGTATTTCTAAAACATTTATGTACATTTGAATCCTTAATTTCAATATCAATTACAATTACTCACTGAATGCATGTTATTTCTTTACTACAAGTTTACGTCACTATTCAACAGACAATAAGCTAATAAACAATTGCCTTTGATGGGGAAACTTGAAGAAAGGCCGATTGACATCTTTGGTGTAAACTTAATTTTGATCCATTTTGAGATTATATGTAGGAAATATGTAGAAAAATCTTATTTTTTTTGAAAAAAAAAATAAGAATTAAAACCCAATCTTTTAATAGAAATACCCAAAAAAAAAAACAAACTATTTCATTATTTTACCCATTTTAACATATTCAACAAGTTCTGAAACCAAAATTGTTAACTTTCCTAAATAATGAGATTTTTTATAAATGTTTTGAAAATTTGTACTACATATAACGTATTTTTTGAATTTAATGTACTATTATGTATTTAAATATATATATTTATGTAGTATGTACTTTTTAAAGTTTTTTATGTAGTTTTTTTACGTTTTTTTTATTTTTTTCTTTTACGTTTTTATATATTTTAAATGTATAAATGTATTTTTTATGTATTTATATGAAATTTTTAAGACTTTTATATACTTTATGTATTTTGGTATATTTTTCGCTGTTGTATTTATATTCTTTACATATTTATATGAATTTAAGTTTTTTACGTACTTTTATTATTTTGGTATATTTTTCACGTATTTATATGAAGTTTTTAAATAATGCAGTTGGCAGCAATAGAGTGTAAAGTCATCACTTACGTTTTATCTTGTCCATTAGTTGTAAGCCCATCTATATAAGGGCATAAGTTCTAAGTTTGGGATCATCGAATTCATTCACTTACAATCACCACCACCACCATTTGTAACAAAGCTTCCGCAGTATTTAGTATATAAAAAATTGTGTGTACTTTAAAGTTTTAGTTTTTGAGCTTTAGTACAAGATAAAAATTCCTGGAAACGTAATTTTTATCTTGGTATCAGAGCTTTGAATCAAAACGTTCTTAGCTCTATGGAAGGCTAAACTCCTAAGGTATATTCAGGAAAAACAGTTTAAAGGTATTATTTATCACTTGTATTTCTACGGTAACATTTCTGTTAAAAACTTAATAAAAACCATTGTTTTTAGATAAAAGACAGCGTAATTGCACATAAAAGAACTTTTTTTGATCTTTCCTACAATAAATTCCAATTATATACTACAAGAATTGTCCCATATGCCGAAACATCTATGTCGATGACACAAGTCGTCGGAGTTCACCAACTTTGGTTGACCAACTTTGTTTGACCTGGGTATCTATGCCAACGACTTGTCGACGCGGAAATGTTAAAGTATTTACGTGCATGGTTTTTCAAAACCTATGCCGATGACAGGTCGTCGGAATATTTTGCATAAATCACTACTAGAAAACTGCCCTTTAATGACATGCAAACAATGACACGCAGTGATTTACGATACTTATATTTTGTGTGTCCTAAAAATAACGTCCGTTTTAAAAAAAATGAAGGATCGAGGACACGTATTTTTGCGTGCCCTAAAATTAGTGTCCAATAAAAAATAATTAAAAACACAGAGGGCACCTATGTTAAAATGAGTGTCGTCTAGAGATGTCGTTTTATATTTTATTTAATAAAATGTACATTTAGCTTGGGGGAAATGAAAATCCCAAAAGTTTGAAAGGCCGCCATTTTAACCTCTACCTTATTTCCATCCTTCTTCTCTATGTGATCAATACCCAAAAAAAACCCTAACATCATCACTGCTCCTCTTTTCTTGCACAACAAGAATCTATGATGCCGATCATGAAGTTCTCAAAGCGTTCAAAGGATCGGGAATCAAGATCATTATTGGGCTAGGAAACGAATTCCTGAGAGATATAAGCACAAGCCGATCGAGCTATGGATTGGATGAAAAACAATGTTGAACCCGTCGTCCCCGGAACCCGTATTCGTGGAATTGTAGTCGGAAACGAGGTTCTAGGCGGTGGCGATCAGGAACTCTGGGAGGTCCTGCTACCGTCGGTGAAAAACATGCACACTGATCTTGACCTCCTCCACCTTGCCGACGATGAGGTTTCAAGCCCACATTCCGCTGGTGGCTTCGCTCGTTCGTTCCCTCCATTTCTACATAAACACGTATCCATTTCTCACATACATCAGTGATCCCGAACACATCGATATCAATTATGCAATCTTCATAAATAACACAGGAATAGAAGACACGAAAACGAAATTACATTATGATAACATGTTCGAAGCACAAATCGATGTCACTTACACTGCTTTGGAAAAAGCTGGATTTGAGAAGATGGAGGTTATAGTATTGGAAACCGGATGGGCTTCAAATGGTGAAGCGAATGAAGCGGGAGCTATGTTGAGTAATGCGAGAACATATAATCTCAACATATTGAAAAGACTACTGAAGAAGAAAGGTACACCTTACAGACCAAATTCAGAAAGAGACTCGCCTTTCTGTCCATCTGGAATTTCTGAAATCCCTAATCACCTAATCGTATTTGATTAATCTGTCATCTCTTATTGATCGTAATTGTTAATGGACACTCTAATTAATGTCGTCGACAAACTACAGAAAGCATGCACAGCCCTAGGCGACTTCGGTGAAGAATCCTCTCTTCCTACTCTCTGGGACACCTTGCCTACAATCGTCGTCGTTGGTGGTCAGGTATAAATATGCAGATATTAATCGCTGATCATAATTTCTTTTCTTTTCAGCGTTCTATCATCCGATCAATGACTTAATTCACTTAATCTTCTTGCAAGCATTTAGGTTCTCAATTTTAGTTTATGGTGTTTGTGTGTCTTTGATCTTTATTTCATTTTTCAACACGATGATCTGTATCTGTAATTCTAACCCCTGATAACGGCTGTTCATATCTATTGACACAACTACATTTAACTTCTTGATTTAGATGAAAGTGTAAAACTATTTCTGTAAGCAGTTTTTATTCGTGCAAATGTACTTCACAGTTCACTCTAATCACTTTCCATAAATTGTTTTTAGACCTCTGGAAAATCATCTGTGTTGGAGAGTGTAGTTGGCAAGGATTTTTTGCCTCGTGGTTCTGGTAATTATTATATCTTCAAAGTTTTCTGATTCAATTTGTTGGATATAAAATGTGATTTAACATCTATTTGCAGGAATTGTCACTCGGCGTCCTCTTGTACTACAACTTCATAAGATCGAAGAAGGAAAAGAATAGGCAGAGTTTGCTCACCTTCCACGAAAGTGGTTCACTGATTTTGGTATTACGACTAAAAAGCTTATGATCCTTTTGTAATTCTCAATCCCCTCTGCGTGATCTTGTTACAAGTTTATATACTTTTTTAGCTTCTGTGAGGAAGTAGATTGCTGATGAAACTGACAGAGTGACAGGTTGTACCAAATAGATTTCATCTGTTCCTATATATCTTATTATCTATTCTCCAAATGGTATGATATAATTATAAACAAAAGATGTTTCATGAACATCAAATTTTAGAAAACATAATAAGTTACTAATCAATCTATTATGTCTGAATTTCTGATCTTTTATAGCTGTGAACTTTACCCTCACTGATCTTCCTGGCTTGACAAAAATAGTTGTTGGTAAGTTTACACAATTACACCATTTATAATATTTCGCAACTTTGGTTAACTTCTGTCTTTGATTAGTGATTTATGTAATCTATTTTCACCTATGTGATATATGTAGAGGGGCAATCTAATAGCATTGTGCAAGATATTGAAAACACGGTGAGGTCATACATTGAAAAGGTATATATATTTATTTACAAATGTACCCAAATCTTATTATATGCTGAAAAGAATTGAAGAATAATATTAATATTTATTTTCAATTGCATTGTGACATTGTCTTGCAGCCTAACTGCATTATTCTAGCAGTTTCTCCAGCCAACCAAGATCAATAAATTAAAACCTGAAGGCTTCTTGTTGCCATTAGTTCTCTACAACTTTTAAGTTGGAGTGTTTGTGAAAGTCAAAGGGTTTTTTATGTCCGAGAAGGGTATTCTCTACTTAGGGTCTATCGGGTTGTTAGGAGAATATTGTCCTATATTCAAGGAGAAAACTCCTTCCTTTACAAAACCAATCACCTGTATGCATCGAGCGCCATTTCAGGACCACACTGATTTCCACAAACATCAAGTCAGAAAACAGGAAGCATTAGTTTTGCAGTTGAGAGAATGATATCCGTTGTAGTCAATAATATTCACAGTTAATGCTGTGTCTTTAGTGTTGACTGATCCACCATGTTTTTCTGGTCATGGAGTTGGTGATAAGCGTTGTGTAGATCAATCTTTAAGAATTGTTGTGGGCCATGCAACATATCTAACATATCATAATGGCGATGACAGGCCTTATGGGGCATTGGAAACTTATATTTGATCATGACTTTTTAATTGAATCTACATACTTCATATTTGGTTCTGTTGTCAATTACCTTACTTTCTTATTTAAAATATTTAGCTTTTCTCTGTCCCTAAATCCTAAATTCCTAATCGATTACTGAAGTCAAGTTCCCAAATGATGTCAACAAATTGATTGTTCTATGCTTAATTATTAATGATTACTTTTATATGTATTATTCTTCTTCTTTACATAGTGTTGTATTACAAAGTATGAACTTACTTATTTATTAATTTTTATGTTATTAACTTGCTTTTTAGATTTAGGTTATAAACTTGTTTGTGTAAGCACTAAGCAATGTTGGTTGGCTTAGTTTTCTACATCAATATTCTTATTTTTGAACTCTATTGGACACACATTTTTGTATGTTAGAAAATGCTTGTGTTGATACCCATTAATCTCCTTAATAGTGATTGCTTTTGTGGTATTGAAAATGGTGATTGCAGATGATGTCGAATCCGGAATCGATAAGAATGGCGACAGATAGCATCAAATACATGAAAGTTGAGGACTTGAGGCATGCTGGAGAACAATTGAAGTCAACTCGACCAGATGAGATGGCTGAGATATTGGTGAGAAGATGGCCAATGCAACACCTGAGGAGCTACCTGCTATGCACTCCAGAGTAGATGCACAATTAACTTATGAATTGAATGCAGCTCAGATGCTGAAAAACAGGTGAGCATAAAACGCCTATCGCCTCTCTGTATGCGTTTCTTTTTTTTTTACTCATGAATTATCCGAACATGTGAGAGAATTTATTTTTATTTAAAAAAAAATCAACTCCTTTAAATTCCAGTCCCTTTGACAGATCCCAATTTCTTTGAAAATATTATGAAAGAACAGTTATTTTAATTCTTGTTATTTGCTTTAGTTTGTGGCTTACCTAAAATTCTTCAGGAAGCTAATAACCGAAATAACAATATGTTACCACCTCCATGGGCAATTGCTGTTATGTTCATCCTAGGATTTAACGAGTTTATGACACTTTTAAGGTTTGTTTGTTTTCTTGTCTTTCTAAGTAACTTGTTAATACTCAAATCCAAAATTCACAATACACATTGTCTTGTTTTGCAGGAATCCATTATGGCTGCTTGTTATTTTTGTGGGTTATCTTCTTTTCAAAGCTTTGTGGGTCCAACTAGACAAATCCGGTGAATTTATTTAGCAATGGCATGGTGAGTTCCATTCCATCTAAATATATCGAATCATAAAGTCATATAATAGCAACATACTTCACAATTTGTCCCACTTAGTTCACAATTTATTTATTTATTATTTATTCATTTTCCTGTTTCTTATACCTTTTTTTATGCTTACAGCTTCCAGGAATTCTGTCTTTATCCATGAAGTTTCTTCCTACAGTCACAAATCTACTTAGAAAACTAGTCGAAGAGGGGCAAAAGCCTGTTGCAACCCAACCACAAGTATTAGGGAGTTTTCAAGGGGTAGTTTCGTCATCTGGCTCATCTGGTGTAACCATGGAAAATGGAAATGGAAACGAGTACACTAGTCCCACCACACATGTCAAAGAGCAATATGTTCCACCTATCACTCACATTCATTTATTTGATCACACACTTGTACACAAACATGCAAAACTCGTTTATTTACACATGTATATATCATTTTATGGATTTTTTAATATATATGCAAAACTCGTGTATTTATGCAGGATGGAAAGTCGGGCAATGCTTCAAGCGTTTACTTGCCATCCACGCCAGGTGGACAGCCGCCCAAGACACTAAGTTCAACATTTTTACCTGGTAGACCGGGTGGAAAACCAATGACACGGAGGATATTGTTTTACTATTCAAACATTTGTTATAAAGTATTTGTGAACTTGCACAATTGTAACTAAGAAAGCATATTTGTAAACATTTGCAGATGTGCTGACAGAAGAAATAAACACATACATAGCATACTAATGTCATCAATTAATTTTTAATCATATATTGTATCTAGCTACAATAAGAAAAAGATGACCTATATTTGTTTTAGTCCCAACCTTTAATGAACTGCCCACCTCCACTTGGAATATTATTTACAAAAAACCCTTCAGGTTTTACAAACCAGTAACAATGTTCAGGATCCGCATTTAAAATTAATTTTTCAGAAATGGCTTTGTTAAACAAATCTAAGCTCTGAAATTTTGAACCCCACCAGAAGTAACCGTAAAAAAGAGTGTGACCACCAACCTTTTCACAGAAAGACCAGGAGTAATTTCCTACATATGGAATGGTATGGTTCCCAAGATCATCATCTCCTGATTTTATGTGAACAACAAGATCTTCACGGAGAGCACTAATAACGCTAACATTCCATTTTGTAGTAAACGGACATGAAAATGCTATTGAAGCAATTGGGTATGTTAAAATGAGAAAGGCAAAAAAATTATGAATGGAGTAACGGATCCTCTATTTATTGCTGAAGATGTAAGCTTGCCTCAATGGAGTAACGGTTCCTGCTAAAGGAAGTTACAAGTTGGCAGTTATTATGGCCGTTACATAAGTTTCTTAACATTTTGTAATTAAATATATGATAATTGCTCCCACCGACCAGAATGGTTATATAATAAAGTTCATGAACAACAAACACACTAATAACATTAATTGAAAAGTAAATATTATTTGATATCAAACAAATTCATATATACAACAAAAGATGACAACAACTGTTTTGTATATGTTCGTCTCAAGATGACATAGTTTACTGAATATTTACAGATTAGACGCAAAATGATACAGCAAAGAGAGTACAGTTTATGTCTATGTATGTTCTGAAAAGATCAAATAGTTTTACTGCTTTTGGCATGTGTCCCTTCGTTCGCTTCGCCGTGTTTTTTGTATTTCATTTGTTTGGGACGTTGTGATTTCTGTGTAGTATCTGTGAAATGGAAAGATGTTGGTTTCGTGTTGGATATAAATATACTGCTAAATGTTATTTTTACCTGTATGTTCCAATTGGAGGCATCTTCCGGTTTCATGTGATTTAGTAGGGGTGAGGGACTCGGTATTTGTGGTGGTTTGTTGACCCATTGTGGTTGAAGGTGTAAACGTACATGCATTAACATCTCCAAAAGTTTTGTCTTCTTTAAGGAAGTTAATGAAAGCATGAACTTTGATCTTAAAGATGCGTGCAATGATATCTGGTCGAACATCACGTTGACCAACAACATCCATGTATTTTCTATACTCATCAGGCCATTTTACATTGCAAGTGAAAGTGATGAAATATTGTGGCTTACCATGAACCCTACATATGGCTAGAGCGTCTTGATAGTGTTTATACATATATCTAGGTCCCCCAACGAAAGTTGCAGGTAGAAATACATGCATACCAATGACATGGCTGTCCGTATCGCCTTTGGACAAAGCGTCATAAACACTGCTATGTACTCTAAACGCAATTGATGTTGATGATGTTCAATAAATTCAAGCCTAGATTGTTCAATTCAAGTATAGGCATCCACCAAATATTGTTGGAAAAGGCGATGTGCATGTAAAATAAGAGAGTAATTGTGTCGATCGTGAATCTGATAACTCTAATACATATTATTTGTTAAGATTCTAATAGAGTCAATACGTAGACACAAGGCAGGAGACCATCCTTCTTCTCCGTATGGGAATATTAATGGATACTGCAAAGACATATAAGTTGGATGAAGCTTATTAACTCGCCGAGCTAACCCTGAATAAACAAAAATATCTAACAGCCCTAGTAACATCATCATCACCAACGATACAACCCAAACTTCCAGAGGTTGGTGACCCATATCTTCTGTCAGGCACATGACTAAATAACCGTACACCATATAAATCTAAATTTATTGAATGGGCTATTTCTTTCGCAGTCTTAAACGTATGAACATACTCATTATGTGTGTTCAACATATGACTTAATGAATCTACAATATATGTAGACAAAAGTACTTCATTATCACCATGAAAAGAATGAAGTCTATTAGCAACCTCATTTTCAGTATCATACATATACAACTATAGAAAAGGGGGCTGATGAACGTCTTGAGGATAAAAGGATCCAATCCAATGGTAAATATGACCACTGAACTTAAACACATATGGTGCACGACCTTTATTGATTGAGTCATCTTCGTTTGCACCAAAAGACGACATAGAGAACATGGAATTATATGCTCTTTTGTTATGCATAAAGTGATCATCTTCGTAAAATTGTAGAAGCACATCTGGCAGACGAAGAGGGTAGGGAAGAACAACATTACCCGACTTACAAAACATTTTGTATATCGCGGATGATTGGCTCGGGATAAAAACAACTCTTTAATGATACCCAAAAAAACGCCCCGAAATGCTCACCCACACAGGAACAATTCCCACATTCGTAATAAATAGGCAACGTTGGTATCTCTAATAAAAGGGAACTCCTACGTGAACGACGGGGGACTATTGTATTGGAAGTAGAAGCCATTTGTTGCCTTTTTGGAGGCATCACAAGAAAGCATTTACTGAAATAGAAATCCAAATTCCATCGACTTTTAACATACTTTATATGTAATCCAAATTGAAAATTAGATTCTAAAAAGGTAAATTTGAAACTAACTATTCTAATTATTAGTAACTAATTTTTGGTATATATTTAAAAAAAATTTAGAACAGAGTAATAGCGTACTCTATGATTGTATTAATCCATGTAGTCATTATGTACACAAATCATATCTAGTGAAAGGGTTAAAAATAACTTACCCAATTTTTGTAGATGCAAGGTAGAGTTGAATATCCTGTAACACAAAAATTATATAACTCTTTATTTACACAAATTCATGAGAAATCGAGAAGGCTTTTAAAATGTCAAACCTAAGAGTTGGAAAAGAAGAAAGAGAGAAAAATCGAAATTAAGTAAGGAATAGAAAATCAATATTAATTACAAAGGATAGAGAACATACCCAGACTTCAAATTTTGAGTTGGAATTGTTAGAGTCCAAACTGTAAGTGCTTAGAGGAAAAGACGACGGACGTAGAGGTCTGAAACAAAGAAAGTAATGTATTAATATGATTAATGAAATTCTAGTAAGTGTGTGTAGATACAATCCAAGTTTACCAAACATGGAGATTAAGATAACGACCTAATGTACATAACTTTTATTGTGTTTTGAAGAGAGTCGATTCCTAGGTTTTTTGTAATTGGCCATTGCTGTCGTTTGGTGATACCTTGAACGTAACATTTTCTAATAAAAGACCAAAATACCCTCAATATATATAAATAAATAAATAAAATTCATTTTTATTAGTCGTTTTCTAGGGTTTTTTTGAATATGGCTATTAATTGTGGCATGGTGTTTCTTTAAATGCGATCAGAACAATTCTTTGTGGGTGTTCAAGCAAAGATATTGAATTATCTATTTGTGTATTTATTTCCATCTTTCACACGTCTTTTTGTTGACTTGGTGTACATGATTCCCATCTTTCATACTTTCTTATTGAAAAATAAAATAAATATATAAATAAATATGTTGGTGTATTATTCTAGGTTTGCAGCTTTGGCTCCACTTTATTATTGATGTGTGACGGTGGGAGTTATTGTGTATGATATAAATAATCTTGACTTATTCTATAATTCTCAATATTGGGTGGAGGCCTGAGTATTGCATTGTGTTTCGTTCAATCCTGATGGAACTAGAATTCTAGATTCCATTTCATGGTTTTTTGGTTGACAAATTCTGGTTTTGGTTTCTGAATTTGAAAGATGAAGTCGAAAATATAACCACTATTTTGAAAATCAAACCGATTCCGCCGGTCAAACCGGTTCAACCAGGAATCAGCTAAGTCACTGGTTCAATAAGTCTCAAAAACCGGATGTGTACTAACCATTGAAAACTAGTAGACTGATCAAAAAATAGTTAAAACTGGACCGTTTACCACTAATTAATCCTGTTTTTTTTCTAAAAAAAAAGACTAGGACAGTTTTTGGCTCTTTATAAGCCAACTTTAAAAGGCCACTAGACTTTGCAACCCAGATTATTTCATTAACTTTTCTGACGATTAATAAAGCAAAAAATTTGGGTCTAGCATAAAGAAATCAAGGATTTCAATTTCCGTCATATCCACTGGAATCAACATAACTAACTATTAGTTTTTTTTTTGGAACGAATGGGATCCTTAGGAATTGGAATGATTCATGTTTATTCCAGTCATAAACAAAAGCAATAAGGTGAGGGGTGAAAAAAAACCTAATTGGTTTACCTCAAATTCGACCTTCAAACTGGCAATTACAATTTAATTATTTTTGTTTTTTTTTTTGGAAAGGGAACTTCCCTAACGAGGATTTAATTATTTTTGTTGAAGGGTACATCAACCTCAAGTTCGAACTTCAAATCACTATGTGGTTGCCGAATCCATCAAATAAAAATTCATTCAGATAAATTATACACAACATGAGGAAAACAAAAAGACCCAAAAGGGATATATCTTCAATAAGGAAAAAAAAACAGGTTTCAACCTTGCTGCCATTTATCAATAGATGAACAAAGTTAGAGTGCCTTGCTGCCATGTATCAATAGATGAACAAAGTTAGAGTATGACAATGTAGAGGTGGCGTAATCTTATAGATTTGGTTTTCTTCAACAAACACAATCTTATAGATTTTGTCACATTTGAGCATGCTCTTACACATGTTAATGGGAATTGTGGAATAAAAATATACCTTCTGACACCCCAAAAGGCCTTGCCCTCCTTAAGGTATGCTCAGAATATACAATTTCAAATTTAATCATCAACTCTATGCTTAAAATGAGACATTATAAAGATTCAAGAAACAAATTAATTAAGTTACCTGAAGTGTTAGCAGCAAGAAGAAGTGCACGTAAAGAAACAGGTTGGTGAGTCAATGATGATGGGTTGACTATTCCTTGTGGTTTCAATTGCTGAAAGAAGAAAATAATAATATTTCATTAATATATAAACAAAAATAATGGTAGCAATTGACTTTTAAAAACTAAAAAACCAATACTTACCGTTTGGAAAACCCCTGTCTAGCATGAAATTTACAATCTAATTGGTCACAGGAGAAACATTCTTGATAAAGTTCTTGAAACATCAGCCAAATAACACCATGCTTGTCATCTTTGTATCAGTCACCATACATATTATATCCACAACCACTTATAAGTTATGAAACAAAATAACAAAACTAGTTCCTTATTCATACAAACAAAACAACAAACACCTTGTCTACATAAATGTAAAACCGTTAAATTACCAATTATATCACATAATCACAAGAAAACTGAAAGAAAAATAGATAATAAATGGATTACATGATTCTCTGACTGTCAATGTGGTTGATATTTGCAAAGAACTGCAATTCGTGTGAATATGCAGAAATTGCTTCAACTTTGAGGATCAGACTTACTTGAAACAGTAGGAAGTTGAAATTAAGTCTGAGAAGTCTCTCTTTATCGAGTTTTCTATTCGAATGGTGAAAGCGAGGAAACCATATTTGTCTTTATTTTTGTAAAATTCAGAGAGAAAGAAAAGAGCGCCTGATTAGAAGACCCAATTTTGTCAATTATTTCAGAAGTGCGCTTATTGTGTGTGTTAGAGAGATATACATATTGCATTTGAAATACCTTATCAATGAGAACAAATGGAATTGAAGCCCTAAATTCCCGGAGGAAAAGACGTCGATAACATCAAACACAGGAAGTCGGAAAGGAAGAATGATGGATTCAAAGATGTTGGAGAAACATATGACATACCGTAATTATAACAAAATAACAGACAACAGGCGATTGGTGGCTGATTTTTGGTGGCGGCAATTGAGCGCAAAATTGGTTGGCAACAGCAATCGAAATCCTTATTTCTTGGGAGGCAAATCGTCGACCGTCAAACCAAAGAAGTCGGAGACATTGATCGGAAACACAATAGGATTAGAAAGAAGACCAATTGTATGAAAATCAAAACAAAAAGTGAAACAACCAACAACATACCGAAATTCCTTTAGGGTACAGGCGCTTGGTTGGTTGCAGGCGTTATGTGGCGACAATAGAGCGCAGAAGGTTTTTGGTGTGAGCAATTGAATTTCTATATTCTTCGATGAAGTAGTCGGTAGAATCAAAGTAACAGTCGGAGACGATTCAAGAAGAAAGGAAGATAGTTGTGAGACGAATGAAGAAGAAAGTGGTGGAGAAATTTACAAAGTGATGTGGATGGTTACAAACTGATGTCGATGTTTTTGTAGATTATGATATTAAGATGTAAACGTAGAAGGACGAAACAGTAATTCTGTCCAAATTGATGTGTTGAAAGTCTGAAACATTGGAAGTTTATTGTTTTAAGATGTGTTGGGTTTTAATATATGTATATAATATCAATTACAATTACTCACTGAATGTATGTTATTTCTTTACCTACAAGTTTACGTCACTATTCAACAGACAATAAGCTAATAAACATATTGCCTTTTATGGGGAAACTTGAAGAAAGGCCGATTGACATCTTTGGTGTAAAATTAATTTTGATCCATTTTGAGATTATATGTACGGAAATATGTAGAAAAATCTTATTTTTTTTTGGAAAAATTAACAATTAAAACCCAATCTTTTTAATAGAAATACCCAAAAAAAACAACTAATTTCATTATTTTAACCATTTTTAACATATTCAACAAGTCATGAGACCAAATTGTTAACTCTTCCTAAATAATGAGATTTTTTTATAAATGTTTTCAAAATTTGTGTACTACATATAAACGTACTTTTTATGAATTTATATGTACTATTTATGTATTTAAATATATATATTTATGTAGTTATGTACTTTTTAAAGTTTTTTTATGTAGTTTTTTTTACGTTTTTTTAATTTTTTTTCTTTTACGTTTTTATATATTTTAAATGTATAAATGTATTTTTTATGTATTTATATGAAATTTTTAAGAATTTTTATATACTTTAATGTATTTTGGTATATTTTTCGTGTATTTATATATCTTTACATATTTATATGAACTTTTAAGTTTTTTTACGTACTTTTATTTATTTTGGTATATTTGTCACGTATTTATATGAAATTTTAAATAATGCAGTTGGCAGCAATTAGAGTGTAAAACCTACATAAAAGAACTTTTTTTGATCTTTCCTACAATAAAATCCAATTATATACTACAAGAATTGTCCCATATGCCGAAACATCTATGTCGATGACACAAGTCGTCGGAGTTCACCAACTTTGGTTGAGCAACTTTGTTTGACATGGGTATCTATGCCAACGACTTGTCGATGCGGAAATGTTAAAGTATTTACGTGCATGGTTTTTCAAAACCTATGCCGATGACAGGTCGTCGGAATATTTTGCATAAATCACTACTAGAGAACTGCCCTTTAATGACATGCAAACAATGACACGCAGTGATTTACGATACTTATATTTTGTGTGTCCTAAAAATAACGTCCGTTTAAAAAAATGAAGGATAGAGGACACGCATTTTTGCGTGCCCTAAAATTAGTGTCCAATAAAAAAATAAAAACACAGAGGGCACCTATGTTCAAATGAGTGTCGTGTAGAGATGTCGTTTTATATTTTATTTAATGAAACGCGCATTTAGCTTGGGGGAAATGAAAATCCCAAAAGTTTGAAAGGCCGCCATTTTAACCTCTACCTTATTTCCATCCTTCTTCTCTCTGTGATCAATACCCAAAAAAACCCTAACATCATCACTGCTCCTCTTTTCTTGCACAACAAGAATCTATGACGCCGATCATGAAGTTCTCAAAGCGTTCAAAGGGTCGGGAATCAAGATCATTATTGGGCTAGGAAACGAATTCCTGAGAGATAAGCACAAGCCGATCGAGCTATGGATTGGATGAAAAACAATGTTGAACCCGTCGTCCCCGGGACCCGTATTCGTGGAATTGTAGTCGGAAACGAGGTTCTAGGCGGTGGCGATCAGGAACTCTGGGAGGTCCTGCTACCGTCGGTGAAAAATCCACACTGATCTCGACCTCCTCCACCTAGCCGACGATGAGGTTTCAAGCCCACATTCCGCTGGTGGGTTCGCTAGTTCGTTCCCTCCATTTCTACATAAGCACGTATCCATTTCTCACATACATCAGTGATCCCGAACACATCGATATCAATTATGCAATCTTCATAAATAACACAGGAATAGAAGACACGAAAACGAAATTACATTATGATAACATGTTCGAAGCACAAATCGATGTCACTTACACTGCTTTGGAAAAAGCTGGATTTGAGAAGATGGAGGTTATAGTATTGGAAACCGGATGGGCTTCAAATGGTGAAGCGAATGAAGCCGGAGCTATGTTGAGTAATGCGAGAACATATAATCTCAACATATTGAAAAGACTAGTGAAGAAGAAAGGTACACCTTACAGACCAAATTCAGAAAGAGACTCGCCTTTCTGTCCATCTGCAATTTCTGAAATCCCTAATCACCTAATCGTATTTGATTAATCTGTCATCTCTTATTGATCGTAATTGTTAATGGACACTCTAATTAATCTCGTCAACAAACTACAGAAAGCATGCACAGCCCTAGGCGACTTCGGTGAAGAATCCTCTCTTCCTACTCTCTGGGACGCCTTGCCTACAATCGTCGTCGTCGGTGGTCAGGTATAAATATGCAGATATTAATCGCCGATCATAATTTCTTTTCTTTTCAGCGTTCTTTCATCCGATCAATGACTTAATTCACTTAATCTTCTTGCAAGCATTTAGGTTCTCAATTTTAGTTTATGGTGTTTGTGTGTCTTTGATCTTTTTTTCATTTTTCAACACGATGATCTGTATCTGTAATTCTAACCCCTGATAACGGCTGTTCATATCTATTGACACAACTACATTTAACTTCTTGATTTAGATGAAAGTGTAAAACTGTTTGTGTAAGCAGTTTTTATTCGTGCAAATGTACTTCACAGTTCACTCTAATCACTTTCCATAAATTGTTTTTAGAGCTCTGGAAAATCATCTGTGTTGGAGAGTGTAGTTGGCAAGGATTTTTTGCCTCGTGGTTCTGGTAATTATTATATCTTCAAAGTTTTCTGATTCAATTTGTTGGATATAAAATATGATTAACATCTATTTGCAGGAATTGTCACTCGGCGTCCTCTTGTTCTACAACTTCATAAGATCGAAGAAGGAAAAGAATAGGCAGAGTTTGCTCACCTTCCACGAAAGTGGTTCACTGATTTTGGTATTACGACTAAAAAGCTTATGATCCTTTTGTAATTCTCAATCTCTCTGCATGATCTTGTTACAAGTTTATATACTTTTTTAGCTTCTGTGAGGAAGTAGATTGCTGATGAAACTGACAGAGTGACAGGTTGTACCAAATAGATTTCATCTGTTCCTATATATCTTATTATCTATTCTCCAAATGGTATGATATAATTATAAACAAAAGATGTTTCATGAACATCAAATTTTAGAAAACATAATAAGTTACTAATCAATCTATTATGTCTGAATTTCTGATCTGTTATAGCTGTGAACTTTACCCTCATTGATCTTCCTGGCTTGACAAAAATAGTTGTTGGTAAGTTTACACAATTACACCATTTATAATATAATTTTGCAATTTTGGTTAACTTCTGTCTTTGATTAGTGATTTATGTAATCTATTTTCACCTATGTGATATATGTAGAGGGGCAATCTAATAGCATTGTGCAAGATATTGAAAACACGGTGAGGTCATACATTGAAAAGGTATATATATTTATTTACAAATGTACCCAAATCTTATTATATGCTGAAAAGAATTGAAGAATAATATTAATATTTATTTTCAATTGCATTGTGACATTGTCTTGCAGCCTAACTGCATTATTCTAGCAGTTTCTCCAGCCAACCAAGATCAATAAATTAAAACCTGAAGGCTTCTTGTTGCTACCAGTTCTCTACAACTTTTAAGTTGGAGTGTTTGTGAAAGTCAAAGGGTTTTTTATGTCCGAGAAGGGTATTCTCTACTTAGGGTCTATCGGGTTGTTAGGAGAATATTGTCCTATATTCAAGGAGAAAACTCCTTCCTTTACAAAACCAATCACCTGTATGCATCGAGCGCCATTTCAGGACCACACTGATTTCCACAAACATCAAGTCAGAAAACAGGAAGCATTAGTTTTGCAGTTGAGAGAATGATATCCGTTGTAGTCAATAATATTCACAGTTAATGCTGTGTCTTTAGTGTTGACTGATCCACCATGTTTTTCTGGTCATGGAGTTGGTGATAAGCGTTGTGTAGATCAATCTTTAAGAATTGTTGTGGGCCATGCAACATATCTAACATATCATAATGGCGATGACAGGCCGGATGGGGGATTGGAAACTTATATTTGATCATGACTTTTTAATTGAATCTACATACTTCATATTTGGTTCTGTTGTCAATTACCTTACTTTCTTATTTAAAATATTTAGCTTTTCTCTGTCCCTAAATCCTAAATTCCTAATCGATTACTCAAGTCAAGTTCCCAAATGATGTCGACAAATTGATAGTTCTATGCTTAATTATTAATGATTACTTTTATATGTATTATTCTTCTTCTTTACATAGTGTTGTATTACAAAGTATGAACTTACTTATTTATTAATTTTTATGTTATTAACTTGCTTTTTAGATTTAGGTTATAAACTTGTTTGTGTAAGCACTAAGCAATGTTGGTTGGCTTAGTTTTCTACATCAATATTCTTATTTTTGAACTCTATTGGACACACATTTTTGTATGTTAGAAAATGCTTGTGTTGATACCCATTAATCTCCTTAATAGTGATTGTTTTTGTGGTATTGAAAATGGTGATTGCAGATGATGTCGAATCCGGAATCGATAAGAATGGCGACAGATAGCATGAAATACATGAAAGTTGAGGACTTGAGGCATGCTGGAGAACAGTTGAAGTCAACTCGACCAGATGAGATGGCAGAGATTGGTGAGAAGATGGCCAATGCAACACCTGAGGAGCTAGCTGCTATGCACTCCAGAGTATATGCACAATTAACTTATGAATTGAATGCAGCTCAGATGCTGAAAAAACAGGTAAGCATAAAACGCCTATCGCCTCTCTGTATGCGTTTCTTTTTTTTACTCATGAATTATCCGAACATGTGAGAGAATTTATTTTATATTTAAAAAAAAATCAACTCCTTTAAATTCCAGTCCCTTTGACAGATCCCAATTTCTTTGAAAATATTATGAAAGAACAGTTATTTTAATTCTTGTTATTTGCTTTAGTTTGTGGCTTACCTAAAATTCTTCAGGAAGCTAATAACCGAAATAACAATATGCTACCACCTCCATGGGCAATAGCTGTTATGTTCATCCTAGGATTTAACGAGTTTATGACACTTTTAAGGTTTGTTTGTTTTCTTGTCTTTCTAAGTAACTTGTTAATACTCAAATCCAAAATTCACAATACACATTGTCTTGTTTTGCAGGAATCCATTATGGCTGCTTGTTATTTTTGTGGGTTATCTTCTTTTCAAAGCTTTGTGGGTCCAACTAGACAAATCCGGTGAATTTATTTAGCAATGGCATGGTGAGTTCCATTCCATCTAAATATATCGAATCATAAAGTCATATAATAGCAACATACTTCACAATTTGTCCCACTTAGTTCACAATTTATTTATTTATTATTTATTCATTTTCCTGTTTCTTATACCTTTTTTTATGCTTACAGCTTCCAGGAATTCTGTCTTTATCCTTGAAGTTTCTTCCTACAGTCACAAATCTGCTTAGAAAACTAGTCGAAGAGGGGCAAAAGCCTGTTGCAACCCAACCACAAGTATTAGGGAGTTTTCAAGGGGTAGTTTCGTCATCTGGCTCATCTGGTGTAACCATGGAAAATGGAAATGGAACCGAGTACACTAGTCCCACCACACATGTCAAAGAGCAATATGTTCCACCTATCACTCACATTCATTTATTTGATCACACACTTGTACACATACATGCAAAACTCGTTTATTTACACATGTATATATCATTTTATGGATTTTTTAATATATATGCAAAACTCGTTTATTTATGCAGGATGGAAAGTCGGGCAATGCTTCAAGCGTTTACTTGCCATCCAGGCCATGTGGACAGCCGCCCATGACACTAAGTTCAACATTTTTACCTGGTAGACCGGGTGGCAAACCAATGACACGGAGGATTTTGTTTTACTATTCAAACATTTTTTATAAAGTATTTGTGAACTTGCACAATTGTAACTAAGAAAGCATATTTGTAAACATTTGCAGATGTGCTGACAGAAGAAATAAACACATACATAGCATACTAATGTCATCAATTAATTTTTAATCATATATTGTATCAAGCTACAATAAGAAAAAGATGACATATATTTGTTTTAGTCCCAACCTTTAATGAACTGCCCACCTCCACTTGGAATATTATTTACAAAAAACCCTTCAGGTTTTACAAACCAGTAACAATGTTCAGGATCCGCATTTAAAATTAATTTGTCAGAAATGGCTTTGTTAAACAAATCTAAGCTCTGAAATTTTGAACCCCACCAGAAGAAACCGTAAAAAAGAGTGTGACCACCAACCTTTTCACAGAAAGACCAGGAGTAATTTCCTACATATGGAATGGTATGGTTCCCAAGATCATCATCTCCTAATTTTATGTGAACAATAAGATCTTCACGGAGAGCACTAATAACGCTAACATTCCATTTTGTAGTAAACGGACATGAAAATGCTATTGAAGCAATTGGGTATGTTAAAATGAGAAAGGCAAAAAAATTATGAATTGTAGAAGACCTCATGTTTCTGAAGAGTTTTCTCTTTATTTCATGCACACAAGTTCCCTCTATTTATTGCTGAAGATGTAAGCTTGCCTCAATGGAGTAACGGTTCTTGCTAACGGAAGTTACAAGTTGGAAGTTATTATGGCAGTTACATAAGTTTCTTAACATTCGTAGTAGAAAGATGTCATTGCCATTACATTGAAAGGGTGTGTCGTTTGTATGAAGGGGAGCGATGGTTTCAACCTATAACTACGTACTTACTCCTAATGTAACTTACTATCTATGTTGATTATGTGAGTAATAAAGATTTTTTATTTCCTACAAGAATCTCTCTTTTCGTCTTCATGTTTTCAATGTATTTCTAAAACATTTATGTGCATTTGAATCCTTAATTATCAACTAGTGTAGTAACCCGTGGGGGAACCACGGGTCACGTTAATTGTTTTTTTGGCACTAATAATAAAGTTCATGAACAAAAAACACACTAATAACATTAATTGAAAAGTAAATATTATTTGATATCAAACAAATTCATATATACAATAAAGATGACAACAACTGTTTTGTATATGTTCGTCTCAAGATGACATAGTTTACTGAATATTCATAGATTAGACTGTTAGTACCTGAAAGTGAACCTCTAACAATCCTAAGTACTAATTTTTAAGTGTATGTTCCGAAGTGAAGAGTGGTCCGAAATCTGTCCGGACCAGGTAAGAAGATGTGAAGACTGAAGACATTCCGGGGCTGTCTCTCATGTCCGGAATGATGCTGATTCGGAATGAAGTTGTTTTGTCTTTTGTGCATTTATTGTATTTGTCTTTGTATTGATGTAACGTTTCATAGGACTTAGTCTATAGTTATATTTGTAAGCACTTCAGTTAATTCAATGTAATATTCACTCCTATTTATAGGAGTATTCAATACAAGTCAACAACGGATCTTTTCACACACTTTGTCACTCTCATTAAGTTTATTTCAAACATTCTTCTTGTTCTTCATTTATTAGCTTTACCTTGATCAGTTATTCTCGTTGTTCATTAAATGACTTGATCATTTGCTGAATTCATTATCTAAGACTTGACTGGTCTTTCCAGACTCGACTTGAACATTTATTAGCAAGCAGACATTGATCTTAAGCATTCACTCAACGTTTGAGTTCTCAAACCTTGTCCTTGCGCATCGGATAGATCTTGTTCTCACAATTGGTATCAGAGCTTGAGTGGTTGTCCTTTGAATCCATAAAGATCAGATTATAGTTAGTTTGAAATTACATTGGTATTTCAACCATTTCTGTGTCAAGCATAAAAGTTATTATATATACCACTTTAGCTTGAAGATATCTTAACTTCAATGCCTGCTTATAATCCTCAACAAATGATTTCATTGCAAATCGCAAATAGTGTGGGTGGCCCTACTCGTGCCCCATTACTAGCTGTGGAAGAATATGATCACTGGAAAGTTAGAATGGAAAGATTTTTACTTACCAAAGATAAAGGTGAAGAAATTTGGAGATCCGTCACAAAAGGTCCACATGTTCCCGTAAGAACAATTGTAAGAGATGCAGCTGCTCAGCTCATGCGAGAAGATGAAACTCCCCCTGCTCCTCTAACTGCAGATGATATCGAAAAGCTTCATGCTGATCAAGTTGCTTTCTCTGAAATGGTGTTTGGTGTTCCTCCTTCACTCTTCGAGCACATTAAGTTGTGATAATCTGCCAAAGAGATATGGGACACTCTTCAGGACCTAATTGAAGGTTCCGAAAACATGAAAGACAAGCGCCTCACCTCTGTTGTCAACGACTTTGACACCTTCACTACCACTTCTGGTGAATCAATGGCCTCAGCCTCCAACTGTTACCGAATCGTTGTCAATAACATGACTGCTCATGGGATTGTCCGAACTCCTTTGGAATACAATCTTAAATTCATAAACAGTCTGGGCAAAGGATGGGGAAATGTAAAATCTTGTCTCCAAAGCAATGGCTCCTTGAAAAAGTTGAAGCTCTATCAACTTTTTGATGAACTTCAAGGACATGAGTCCAATGTTGCCCAAACCATAAGGGAACTCTCCGGAGGTCCTCTTGCTCTTGTCAGTTCTTTCGAATCAACCATTCCGAACTCATCTACTTCGGATCCCTTCAAACCCATTGTTCCATCTGTTCAATCATCCGCACCCATTTTACCCACACAAATCTATCCTGCTGATGATTCTGAAGCCATGGACTCTGAACTCCGTTTTCAACAGGAATTCGCTCTACTCTCAATGAAGTACAAACGTCCTTTCAATCCTTCTTACAAACCATACCAAAACCGATTCAATGCTCCTCACCATAACAATCCTCAACCTTACTCACCTCCGGAACCTAAACCAACTTCCGAAAACCCTCCTGCAATCCTACAAAACCCTCACCACAAACCAAATCACAAACCAAACCAAAACCTCACTCCCCAACCCTCACAAATTCCAAATCGGACAAACCAAAAATTGTGTGTCATAAGTGTGGACATGCAAACCATTTTGCTAAAGATTGCCTGGCTGATGCTCCGCAGAAACCAAAAATCAAGGATTCTGCTTACTACGTCCGAAGAGCACAAGAAATGGATGAAATCGAAAAAGCCTTTGTAACAACGGTTTCGCGAGATGTTGAAGGGTATTGGTCATCTAGAGATGATGATGACATGATAACTGGAAGGAACATATGTCTGATGGTAAGACAAACGGTTGAATGTGATGAAGGATACTGGTCTTCTGGGTTAGAAGATGAAGACGATGTTGTTGAACCTCACTACTGCTACATGGCCACCAATGATCCACCCGGTCGAAGCATTGTTCAGCAGGTAAAATCTATGATCTCTGATAATAATTTTGATTTGTCTCTTTGTGAACTTATCTGCCCCAAATCCAAACAGATATGAGCACCATTTATAAAGCTTATGAGTCTGCCATAGAAGTCAGTGAGAAGAAGGACTGTGAACTAAATCGTCTTAGGTTACATTTTGAGGATAAGAAATTAAAAATCGAGTCTTTAGAGTATGAGCTTGTAATGTCAAACGATGAATGTATCATTTTGAAATATAAATGTGAAATCACCTATTCTGAACCAAATGTTTTAATTGATGATTACAAACGTCTCAATGCAAAAATAGATGCTTTGCATAATTCTGTAGACATGCTTGAAGCGGACATTCAGATGACTCATAATTTTCGTCATCCTTGGTCTAAAGCACCTGGTCTCGGAAGCGAGTTTCCGAAACCAATTGTTAGTCCCTTGAAGGAATTGAAAATTTTGACATTCATGGGAGAGGTTCCGAATATTAAACATTCGGACACCCCTGTTTCTCCCTTGTCTCCACTTCCTGAGACTACAGACCATTTTGAGTCCCTAATTCCTGAGTTCAAACCAATAGTTGTCAAGTGTCCTGATTCCACGCCTCTTCCGCCTCTGATAAACCTGGACCTGAATCGGACCACGAATTTTCATCACAGTCTTACAAATTGTGTACACTATGTTCCTAAAAGTAATCACGTGAACAATTGTGTGATTGAAGAAATTAATCCGGTGACAACTGAAACTACTGCTTCTGAGTTTGTATGGGCATCCTTAGATGATAAAGTTGAAGTCTCAAGCTGTGTGTCCTCTGATTCTTGCGAATCGGATTCCTTAGTCATCTCAAAAACTAAATTGGTTCCCATTACTCCTGAGTTTAAGAATCTATCCGTAGGACAAACCTCAAAATCCTCGTCTCATCCTAAGAGAAAACCAATGCTGAATAGGAAGGATATTGTAGATCCCAAAGTAGAAGCTCGAAATGCACATAAAAAGGAAGTTAAGACTAGACAAAATTCCAGGTTTCTTGCTAACTCCAAACCAAGTTCATCCCGGAATTCTCATGCATTAACTCATAGTCAAAACTCCTTTGCTCCCACTAAGATCCTCAAAAGACCTTCCAAACCTCTTGGTCATGTTGAACCTAAGAAAGTCATCAGCTCTACTCAGCCTCAATCTAATGTAACTACCAAACCATCCAAAACACTTCACCAGAACCTCAGACTGTTTCATCTGTTTTTATTGCAAAATCTGATGGCACAATTTTAAACCAAATCTTTCAAAAACCAATGTGTCATCAAGAAAATCCAGAAACGCAAAGAAAACATCTTTTTCGAAATCTTCAAAGAAAATTTTTGTGTGGAAAGTCAAAACTCCCATTGATGGAACAACAATTCCGGAGGTTACAAATGTTACCAACACTCCGGAAGTCAAAGATCGGAAGCAAATCATTCTGAAACTCCAAGTCATTGAATATGACTACTGGATAGATGAAAAGACATTAGCCTTCTGT